ATAATTATTAATTAAAATTAAATAATTATATAAAAAATAAGTGAACATTGATATAAGTTTAACTAATTTTCTAATGTAAAGCGTTTAGATCGACAAGGACTGTGACTGCAATAAATATAAATGTTTAAATATTATATTAGTGTTCTTTTCGAATGTTCAAAAAGTATCCGATATTTGGTACGTCTCTCTTACTAATAGAGATTCTAAATGATATAAAATTGCTTCTCTTTAAAAAATACTCTACATATATGTATAGAACCAATTTTAAGAGAGTTTCTTTCTGGAATGAAAATTGCTTTTAGTGCCTCTTAGCTAAATTTAGGTTTTAGATTCATATACACTATGTTAAAGTGACCGGCAACAGTATACATATGAGTGAGACAGACCGTCAAAAAACTCCAAATTTTTCGAAAGATATAACAATTGATATCAAATTAATGGATACAGTATTACAACCTGCAGGAAATCCTCGACCTATTTTCCTCCGGTATAAACACACGCACAATAATACCTTATAATGACCTTTTCACCAATCTTGCATATTATCGTAAAGTGATGGTCGTAAGTCGATAACGTTCAATATTGGTTCTGCATAAAATCATTCTTTCAGGCAACCCCAGTAAAAGAAAGAAGTGAAGGTAGCTACGGTCGTCAGCATACCCATACAAAAAACAAATCCATAATAACTCAGTTACCTGCAGTGACACTGTCAGCTCTATAGAGACTAGAAATTGCGTTTCAAGCTGCGCTCACCGTGCCTACAGCCCGCCTATTACACCGTATTGTAGCTGAAGTCGGCCTACTTCGAAATTGTTGCGAACACATTTAAAATTCCTACTGTCGTACAGTCAACTACATAGTATAGAAAGAGACTACATAGAACAGAAATTTCAAAGTGCGTTTATCGCGTCTTGGTTACACTGTCCTGCAAATGCTGGTTACATTTCAAAATGATAACGTAATGAACCCATACAACATATTAGTGTATTGTCTATTATTCTTTTTTATGAACATGATCTCGATTGAATTCGCCCGCCATATGAATTCGTGTATGCTTGAAGTTTCTATGATGGATTGAATTCCTTATGAAGATGTTACGTCAGAGAACTAAAGTAATCGGCTCGCAACACGAGAAGATAAGTGTAAGTAAGTGGCAGTGTTCCGAAAATTTGTCTGCAGGATGAGACATGATCGGCACAAATGATGGCTTTGACTTGTTCTAGAGTGGCGTCCACGTCAAGGCAAACGTAGTGTAGGAGAGTTGGCATGCTCAAAGGCAGGCTTATGTCCTGCAGTGCGTGCATAGCGTAGATGAAAAGATATGGCACGTGGTACTTTCGTGGATGCGAATGAAATCGTTATTTAGTGGGCTTGGCAGTATTTTATTTTGGCAACTGAACTCGGCAATGGGCAGCTGAATAAAAAAAATTAGGCTTTTTGTTTGGAAAATGAGGAGTTGCGATGCTAGTTCTAAATATTCTCGGATAAAAGTAATTTTTTTTTATTTTTAAATTAAGTGAAAACGTTGTTGCTGTGAATGAAGGTGTTATGTTATACAGGATCAGGGTGAATGGCACAAACTATGGGAGACCTATACCAAACAGTGGGTGAAGTTGGCCTGTAGATGATAATGGTTAAGTGTCTTTGTTTATGTATGTAACCTGTGTTTTAAGTTTATGTTATTAATGTTTTGTAATTTTACTTATTTATAGTTGCGCTTAAAT